GATAGAGGAACAGATCAGTCCGATAACTATGCAATTTTCTCCTCCCTTTGTTCGCACGAGTACGTACTTCTTTGTATAAAGACTGCGTTTCGTCTTCCGTCCAACTGAACGACGAATATTTATTCTGAAATTAGAAACGTTCCGACCATTACTATTATACTATAATACTTGCCTCCACACGTTCTTATTACGTACTCTTCCTACGTATTCCACGCGGACAGATTATTATCGCCAACAGATACATACATATGTACATACTAGTATGTATTTATCTCGACTGATCGAAAAGTCAAACTAATTGTCCAAGTTTGTTCGGAAGTTACCTTGTACGAAGATCTCGATAGAAAAGAGACTCCATAGTCTTCCGGTTTCGCGGAAACCATACCAATCGTAACAGTCGACCATGCCATCAGACCAACTCCTAAAGGGAAAAGGGATTCAATCTGGTTACGTATTTCCCTCCTAATTATAATAATTAATCACCGATCTGTACAAGTTTATACGTGTACGAGTATCGGTTCAACTTGTAGGTACCTATTACGATATACCATATGTATATTAACAATTACCTACCGATTTTATTGTACAACTCTGGCATATAAAGTTCTGGTTTTTCTCTATAAAACAGATGGTATTCGGCTTGTTCTACGATCGGTGTGACGCAATTAAATTGCCGGCAATTCGTGTAAGCTTCCATAATTTCGACAGGAGTCCAACGAGACGTTCCCCAGTACATTACCCATCCTTTGCTTATCACGTAATTCATAGCGCGTACTATTTCTGAAAGGAACCAGTCAAATCGAACCGGTCAACAGAGTAGAACGCGCGCGCACCTTCGTCGGAATATATCGGACGTGTATGTATGTAAGTATCTAAGTATCTACCTATCGTAGAAACAACAGAAATAATAAATCGCAAACGAACCTTCCATAGGACACATTGGATCTACTTTATGAATCATTACAATATCGATGTAAGATAGTTGTAACCTGACTAAAGATGCCTGGACCGATTCGATAATGTGTTTACGCGACAATCCACGACCCTCTGCCCTGTAATCAAACGT